CTGCTGTTTCCAGGACCTTTTCCCTGCAGGTTTAACAGCTGGGGTGCATCAATATGGATTAGATTTCCAACGTTTTAATAGACCACGAAAGACTCCCTTCCCAAAAGTTCTGTTATTTCCCAGCAGCCCTAAGTCCCTTTGCTGTTTCTGCCTTCCTTGGTGTTCGCAGTTAATCCGTGCGCCCTTCTCCAGGAGCGCTAGTGCAGAGCAGTACATCTTCTGCAAGTGATGGTTCTTTCTTGCTAAAGGTAAGGCTTGAACCCAGCTGATTTCAGGCTACTCTGCAGCATATGGCTGTGAGCCCCTGCCTGCCCCAACTCCAGCGTGCTCCAGGGTGTCATGGGCAGCATCTGCTGGATGAGTTTGCCCCCACCAGAGGAGCTTCAGCCAAGAGAGCAGAAACTCAACTAGATTGTACCAACTGCCTAATCAGAGCAATCCTTGAGTCTGCTATAAATGAGATCAAACTATTCAAGCTGGATCCTAATCAGCAGTCAGTGCAATCACTGGGGAGCAGACACTGCCATCTGCATGCTTATTTCTTGGGCTTTGGAATTATTTAACATTTGATTTATGGTGGTGAGTTGCATCCTGGCAAATGTTCACTATATGAAATTCTCTGTTCCCTCACTCATTAAACATCAGGGCTTGATCCATGTGAAAGCTTCCTGCTGAGTTCACTACTTTTTGGATCCGGCCTCTGGGTCTCAAGACTGGCAGATAATATTCCATTTCTGTCCAATTTTCTTTCTCAAATTTAGAAGCTCAAGTGTTTTCCATCAACATTTTTATGTTTACTTTTGGGAGAATCTTCACAGTGGGTCAGGTTACTGTGATATAGAAAGGATGACCCACACTGACATATAAATTTTCCAAAGGATCTCAGCCTGAGGCAGACATCTGCCTCAGAGAATTTCAGCCCAGATGGCTGAAGCTTGGCAAAGATGTAAGGAACTGAAAATAGAGCTTTATAATGGAAAGTGGTGTAGAACCTCAATTATAAGAGGGTGCTACCAAGTACCACATACTATAAAACTCCATGACAGAAAACATAAGGGAAGAATTGAGGGAGGATTCTTTCCATTATACTTCAGAATATATGATCTGTCTCTTCTTTTACTTGAAAGGCTATCAGAGTTAGCTCTTTTTTTTTTTGCCTGATCCTCCTGAAATTACCATCACAACCAGGCAGCTCAAAACCAGCCTTTTGTTCTCATCTGTATTAAACAAGGTTTGTTTGAGACGCATACAACTGTCTCAGATAGTCAAAAGGAGTCAGGGCTGAGATAGTTCCTCTCTGCATTGAGAAGTCAGCTAGCAAACTAGAAAAGCCATGTGGCTGAGATCTAAGCAGTTAAATCATCATTACTTGGTTTTCAGATTAAAAGCCTGTCTTGATGTTTCAGTACAGGAACACATGGACGATTTCAGTTCTTCAACACTTTAAATCCCCAGCAAAACACAAAGATTCACTTAGTCATAATAGATGAAAACCACAATTTCACTCATATTAATTCTGAAATTTTTGAGTTCCCATTTTTGCTTTCACCTCATCTCAGTCAATTCACTCCTGATGAGCAGGATGTGAAGACATGAGCTGGAAACTTGTTTAAAGCCATGTAATAAATTTGCTACAATTTACACCTACATAAGTCCTGGATAACTTCACTGGCATAAATGGAAACACAATTTGGCTTGAAGCATCAGGGTTTTTATTTTTTTGTTTGTTTGTTTTGTTTGTTTGTTTTGTTTTGTTTTAATTTGGTAACAGATTGAAAATAAAAATCCAGTGACGTCATGCTTATGGTGCAGAATCAATGTGTTTATGCTGTACTGCTCCAGAGTAAATGAGATAAGGCTTTGACCTAAGTAGCTAAGAAAATGCACACAGCACCCATTTGCAAAAAGCCTTCTGAAAAACTTTATATTATGGAATGACTCAATCTTTAGAAATCTGGGGGCAAACAATGCACAAACTCCTTAGTGCCAAAACATGTTTTTGTTAACAAATGTGTTTATTTCAGACATATTCATGAAATCTTATAGATGTAGCATGCTCTTTTTACAACTGTCTCATCATGCACCAATATTCACCTTTTGTTTGTTTGTTTGGGGTTTTTGTTTTGTTTAGGGTTTCTTTGTTGTTTTTAATGCATTTCAGTGATCCCCATCATCCCACCCACAAACTGGGCGTTTATAATGGAAATTCTGACCAGGCCTTCACTATGGTGGTGCTTGCAGGCACTGTCATGATAAATAATTTACTGTTTAATGGCTCTTGATGTAATCACAGCAGGAATGAAATTCACTACCATCCATCTCTCCATTGTTACCCAGGAGGAACAAGATGGTAGGGAAATATCACTCTTCTCTGAGCCCATCTTTTTAGCTCCCAGCTCTAAAATGAGTGTTTAAATTGGTAAAGAGAGAGTTTACCACCACAATCCAACCTCTACATTTGTTTATGTTGGACAACACTTTTGTTCTGGCTTGCATTACTCAGATGGATAAAACTCAGAAGGGTTCTGCTTTACTGCCCTGCTTTCTCTTAGTGTTTTTGCATTTTTTAAATGCTACCAAATGGCTGCTTTTGGCTCACAGCATTATCACATGTTGTCTATAAGTATGGAAACAGTTATGGTAATATGGACGTAAATCATAACTGCAAATACCACATAAAGAAGACTGCCATATAATTATAAAAATACCTAATAGATTTCTTTTTCAAAGACAACACAGCTGTCCTTTCTAACCTTTCATTTGCAGATTCTTTTCTCTCCTGTTTTTATTTATAGGTTGCCGTGCAGTATGACACAGCACACCATGATTTTTGTTTCTAATTTTGAAAAGAAAAGGAAAAGAAAGAATACTCATTTCATCATAAAGAAGCATTAGTTTACAATTTTGAAAAGAAACTAACTCCAGCTCTAGAACATCGTCTTGGAACCAATCTCCCTCTTAATACATTTCAAAAGAATCTGTCAATGGCTACATACCACAATATAAAATTAAACCCTGCCATCAAACTAAAGAAGGGGTCGGCCAAGTGGCACACATCACGTGTTGGGAAAGAAGCCTCGTTCTTTCTCTAAACATTTCAGTGTTTTTGTGAAAAGAACCACACTAAGTTATTATGCTGACCACAACAAAATAAGATTTTCATACCCTACTCATGGAAAAACAGGTTGAAAAGTGTTACGGGTAAACTTACACTATGCAACATTCTATGTCACTGAAAGGAGTAAAGCCTTACACAGCACTGATGTTGCCAAAAAGGGGTTTACATATTGCCTGAAAACTGTCACCATGCATTTTACCCCTTTCCAGTCAGCTTTGCAGTGCTTGAAGGCAAAGTAAATTTCAACTCTGCCTTATGCTGGACCCGCACGGTGCTTCATCCTACACAGACTTGTTCTACCTCTCCCCTGTTCCCTCAAAGTTACATAAGGAGCTGGATGGTCACAAAACAGAGGCTGCAGGCAATATTGCTCATGCCACATGAATGGAAGGCTGCTATCTTTGAATCTTTGCCTCAAAGCCTCTACCTATCACTAAGCAACCACTTCAGAGAGCTGCGCCTATGCCTTTCTGTACAGCAAACCCCACATTTTAACTGAAATAACAGCAAGCCTCTCGAGGGAATGAAGTTCATCTTAACCATCAGAAATGTGCAACTTTCTCTCCCTCAATTTACAAAAAGAGTAATTATCACTTTACGTTGAAAAACGCACAGCTCTGAATGGGTATAGTACATTCTGACTCCCTTTCAGAGAAACAACTAAAACAAATGAACTGCAAAATGCTGGTGGGAAGGATCAGTCTGGACCAGAGGTGTAGTATTCACTTATTGATACAGTTTATTAAAGCAGATGAAATGCTCAAATCCACACTGCATTTTTATCAGTCTACACTAACTGGCCTTTGTCCAAAAATGTATCATTTTATCAGATGTGTCACTCTGTTGGGAGGCTGCCATGACTATACTGGGTGACTGAATGTTAAAATAATTTCTCCAGGGGGAAGAGGCTGATCCCAAAGGTTTCCTAGTTCCAAGGGGGAGATCATTTTTCACCACCAGCTGGAGCCTGATGTCAGACATGCCCTTGCTTCATTTATTCTCCTCAGAGGTTGAAACTCAGCTCGTCCTTCTTGACTCCAATATTGTTTCACATTTGGGCACATAGCAGCTACTACACAGTGAACTATTAGAATAGGAGAGCCCATGAAACATGGGAAAATAGTTTAGGGGAAGCAGTTTGACAGCAGGGTGCAGTAGTTTCTATTGTCCCATTAGAACAGAGATAGGTAGGAACCTTCACTTTGTATTCATTAAGTAAACATACGCATTTTAGCCTAATGTGCCAAAGAGATGCAAATACAAAAAAACCCCCAAACAAACCAAAACCTATGCCACCAAAATCCCCCAAAAAACAACACAACAAATGTCTGTGCTTTTTCTGCACCATGTCTATTTTCCTGGCAGGACTATGAGAATGAAGCCCTGTACCCCTGAAAGAAGGTTAATGTGTACTGAAAAAACAAATAACCTGGATTACCTTGGAGTCTGGCATTTTATTTTACATTTGTAGTTTGGTCTGAGAACAAAAAGGAAGCTGCAATGATTGAGTCATCTTATGAAAACATCTCAACAGATTTTTATTCCTTTCTATGCATTTTTTGCAGAACAATAAGCAGAGAGAGAGAGAATTCACCAGTTTCCATACAATACTTAAAGAACTAAGTTGAACTCTTCAAACAAAATAGCAGCTAGGTCTTGCCCACACTAATGGTTTGAGCTTGCACTATATTTAGATCATGTCTAAATGAAGTTGAGGTGGCTACACTACTGTATTGGTTTTTTTTTTAATTTGCATGACTGTTGTTCTGAAAACATTGCTGTGAGTCCACGCTACAGACTTGTTACCACAAGCTTTCAATAGATATTTAACATGAGAAGGTGAAACCATGTGGCTTCATCATCTCTAAACATTTACATCAAGGCAGTATTGATGAAAATGAACTCTTCGAATCAGCTGGAGTTCAGTTTTCTGGCAGGTTTAAGCTGTAAAGGCAGAACACAAGCAGGTCTGTGCAACAGAGATCAGTCACTGCAGCACTCATGGCATACACTAGTATCTCCTGTAACATTCCTCTTCTTATACCAAGATCCCTCTGAAGTACTCCAAGTAAGGCTTTGAAATAAGGTTTACCAAATCCACAGCAGATTGTGCTAAAGCTGGACCACTGCCAGACACACTAAAAACTTTCTCACCTCTCTTCTTCATAAATATGGAGCAGTCAGGAGACCATGAAAAACTGCTTCCAGAGGTATTTACAATACTAGCAGTATTTCTCACTCAAAGCACTCTAACTGATACCACAGATACTTTTATTGCTAAATTTTCAAATTTGTATTGTGGGTTTCTCTAAATATGCATATTCAAGAAATCTGAACAAACTAGTGGTGTGAATTTACAGGATATACAGAGGCTAGAGAGCAATTTATCTCTTTTGAAGTGAATTAAGGCAATCCGAATGAAAACCATTTTCACTTTAAACGACTCTGTCCACACAAGGGACCAATCCACTTCAAAAGTTAACTCAGATGATTTGTCCTTATCTGTGAAGCTGATTCTCTGGCACTGTCCAAGAAGGCTAAAAATTAAAGAAAATATGTTCTTTGACACGCAGTGTTACATATTTCCAATGTTGTCCTAGCAAAGATCATTAAAAATTAGGCAAGGGATTGTATCAGTTTAATTTCAATTTCTGCTTTTTGGCAAGATGCACAGTTCTTAAGAATTATGAGAATTTTCCTTCCTCTTTCCTTCTCACCTCACTTCCCCAGAAAGAAGTGAAAGGAAAATTTGCATGAGAAATTTGAGTGAGACAAGGATACAAATAAGCAGTGGATAAGGGAAATTCAAATGGACTTTTGTCTCAGCTGCTACATCATACCACACACCAAGCTACTGTGTTGCTACTGTCCACAGAAATCACCCTGTTCTAGGGGTAGGTAGCTTTTAGAGGTAGGTAAGAGAGCTGACCAAAACACTATTAGAGAAATAGAGCCTTAATTTTAAGCAAACTTCTTTTTTTGTTATCACTTGAGTAGGAAAAGCTTTTGAGGAAGTTTATATTAGGTCTAAAACAATAGAGCCTCACTGAGCTTTGGCCTCCAGGCATACTTTTAAGTAACTCTAATTAATGAGAAATATGAACATATTCTTGGAGAGAAGACAGTGAGGGAGGGGCAAAACTGATGCAAAGAAAATTGCACAGGGAAAAAAATGCAGTAAACATTAAAGAATCTCAAGATCCTTAACTGAGATATCAGCTGCTGCTATTTACAAAGAACCTGATATTGGCCTTTCTGTTTAAGTCACTAATACTTGCCTGGTAAATACCTTGTTAGTTCACAGTACTTATATACAAAATGTGTGATTTGGCTTCAATATGAAAGCAGTTCCTTTTATACTCGAGAACCAAATCTGCATGGCAGGTAAATGGTTAATGCTGAACAACATGCACATGATACTTCATCAACTCCCTTACAAAAATTATATTATTCTTTATTATGGTGCCCTGTAATTCTAAAGTAAATCACGCCAAGATACTATCTTGCACGTCTGTAGATCAGATATCATGACTCAGGAAAAAAAAAAAGCAAGCTTTCATGCACTTACCTTATCCTCTAGCCGGATCAGTCTGGCTCCTATACTATAGTATCCTTTGTCTACCCCTTTTTCTAAATAAAGAAGAATAAAAATGGGACATCCATTAGGTGGAGAATAAATTCAGACTAAGAATTATATCTATGATATTTAAAGCAAAACAAGAAGCTGGTAATAGTAGGGTAGCATAAAAAACATGAACACAACAAGAAAGAATTTCTGACGGTGAATGGAAGTGAAAGAGAGTGGTTGGAGAGAAGGGAATTAGTTTGTCTAACTGGCAAGATTAGGTTAGTCTAAAGGGCAACTTGGACATTGATAGAGGTAGTCTATGATCATGAATGATTAGACATAGTGCCTGTGGTAACTTGTTTCCTTGTTTAATTATGTCAGCTAATTGCATGTAGTTAGATGGAATAGGCCTAGTACTGGGCACACCTCCTGTCTTGGATATCATTGGCATGAGCAAGGTACACTTGCTATACATAAAGAAACCAGAATAGTTTTCAACTGAGGTTGCAGCTGTAGAAGACAGCACTGTCCAGGGGTTCTATCTTTCTGTCTGTCTGTCCATCTATCTATCTATTTATCTATCCATCTCCTCTTTGCAAATGAGTGACACTGGGAAAAGCCCTTGCATCTCCGACCTCATTTTCCCTCCTGCTCCTTGAGACCTGATTATTAAAGCCAAGTTATGCATTTTGTTTCACTCTCATGCTGCAAATGGTGGGATTGGAAGCCAAGATTAAAAACTGTGCAAAGTGGGGTCTATCCTTTCTGTTCTCATGGCCTACTGCAAAACCCACAGTTTGGGGGTGTTATTTCACAAGGAATGAAACACGAACCCACATATATCCTGAGTTGGGAGAAAATATTCACAAGAAAAAAACCATGCCCCAATACTAAAGTAACTTAGCCTATGTCAATGGAATTTGGATACATTTTTCTCTACTAAACTATACCTCCAATAACGGCTAGGAGTAACTGATAGTTTCATAAATTACTTAATTTTTATGAGTCATTGAGCTTTGGCTTTTAAAGCTATTTAATTCAATTTTGTTTAGGGCGTGAGCACAATGTGAAGGGCTTTCTGGAAGACACGCTGAGATACGAATTTACAGTGCATCAGTGCCCACCATAACTGCCTGTATGTGTGCTCACTCTGCACAGAACTCACATTCTGGCATTTCTCAGTGAATGGTACTTGCTTTACCATTGCCATTAGCAGTGCATATGTTTGCTGGCATGACATGTTTAGCGATGTATTTGCACGAAAGTTCACTTCAAGGTAACTTGTATTCTATGCACCCCAAACTTAGGGGAAATCTTTAGCAAAAAGCAATGCTGGCAAGAGTACTTTTTGTGCTTTCCTTCTCCTCTACAGACCACCTAAAATATTTAAAAGGTCATGGACCCTTGGCAGCTCTGTGCAGGATTAGAAAAGATAAGTGTTTCATCAGAGAACCTGTAGGAACAAATACAATAAAGAGAGAAAATTCAAAGATTTTTCAAGGACACTGTGAGGGGACAGACAATATATGACACAGCTTGGCTTATACATGTGTGTTATTCATCATTCACAACCTCAGAAACCTCTTAAAATATAAGTGGCTGAGGCTCAAGTTTATCTGTATTCATCTCTGCCTAAAATGAAATAATTGATTCTGCAGTCTACTTTCTAGTTAGTAAATCCATAGACAAATCTTCCAAAGTAGATATCAGAAAAAACCATGCCTTCAAGGATTTCTAAATTGGGATGCGATTTGAACAGCAGTGGGTAGGTAGTGTTTTTGTTTGGGTCTAAACCCAAAAAGTCCCCCAAACATGAAGAAATATTTCAAAAAGCATGGTGGTTTGGTTTTTTTTTTATATAATAATAAAATAAAATAATAATTTCCTCACCAGCACTAATTACATCCATCAGATAATCCCTAAGACATCACAAACCAAGCAAACCAAGTTAATAATATTTCCTATTTTAGTTATTCTCAAATGTTGTGTGGAACAGAAAACAAGAAAATAGGAGGCAGATAAGCAGTTAGAAGCTGTTTTGTGGCATGTAGCACTCCCATCAGATGAAGTGAAAAGAATGATACACATGCACGTAGCTGTATCTCGTCCACCCCTTCATTGGTATGCAGATTGTATAAGTCACAAAATGCTGTGGTCTTTCCCAACTTCTTATTAGCCTCCACACAAAACAGCATTCAGCTCTAATTTACAAGCATTTTCTTCTAATAAAGACCATCCTTTAAAGTGTGGTGTGTGCACAATGTGCTCAACGTTGTTGTTGGAAGGGTGAGCAGAAGCTCAGATAATGTTACTCCAGTACATTTGATTTCTATCTCATGTTTATGTTTTCTCTCTTGAGTCTTTTCAAGATATATAATTTTCAAGATATATAATTTTAGACTTCCTATATTAGATTATTTGCTTTTACACAGTTGAAAACATTGCAGGGCTAACTATAAATCTGAAATATCCCAATTTCTACAGTCTTTGCTTGGCAAACGAAAATAACTTTCTTTTAGTATTGACTTTTTTTTGTTCTTCTTGGTGGGCTTCAGAAAACAGATAGATCATCTAAGCAATCCAGTAATGCATATGGGAAAGGCACAAAACACAAGACTACATTTGCATGATCTTAATGGAAGGAAGCACAATTATTTACAACTGGATGAAAATACATATGGACAAGTTTTAGCTCAGAAATAAAAAAGAAATATCTTCCAACAAGCTCATGTAACATAGTTGGTATGATACTGACCCATCATTTTATATACTTAGTTTTGAATCAGAGAAAACACAGGTATATAAGCACTAGGCTTTATAGTTTGGGAGACTGAATAGTTGTTGGGTCATCTAGTCCATTTCTCATCTTTATTAACATAGAAATTTCTTCCCTGAAAGCCTTTGCCTTCCTGAATACACAGGCTATTCTACTTTCAAAACAACACAAACCTGTATTCATTTTCTAATATTTTCATAAATCTGGCCCATCTCCTTTTCTAGTGAAGAACAAGAGAAGCCTCTTGTAAAAAAAAAAAAGAAAAAGTTAAAAATTTTAGGTATGCTCCATGCCAGTTCAGTAGGTGGGGACTCTTTCCCCAAATGGAACCATGCGATATAAATAACATGTAATAATATAAGTAGGAGGAAGAAAGCAAATAAAATGAGGGACTGCACCATATTCTTAATTTTTAACACAATTAGTGTCCTCCATCTCATCAGACTATACAAAAAAAAAACCCACCAACTTTAAATAAAACAAATTTTTTTCCTTTGGTTAGAAAAAATAATTACAGGGAGCATTAGGACAGTGGATGAATTGCAGACAGATGGTCTGAAAATTATTAAAGCTGGAAATGACTGCTTGGACAGAATAAGAGTCCTTCCTTGATTTTTACTTTCCCGGTGTACACAGATAGAAGGGAGCTAACTGAAAAATATTACGATTTATTTGAAAACAGTCGATTTCTTTTAAGCAGAAAATGAGGAATATGAGCATTGTGACACCAAGGATATTCCAGACTGCTAAAGATATGTCAAAACCTTGTAAATTCTATTTTAGAAAGCAGAACAGCCCAATAGACACCATGATTTCTTTTGGCTAACAATGCAAATACAGCTTTCTGGATCTGTGTTTGTTACAGTTCTGTAAAAGTTCCACGCAGGGATAACTGTGATGAGCTTATGGCAAGTTCCAGATTCTTAGGTTTGTAAACTGAGAGTGCTTCTGAAAATGGAAGTCAGGACTGTTCTTTTAAGCCACAGATCCATAAAAAAGCAAATAACGAAGTTGCCTTAGGCATCATGACTTTTGGTTTGAGTCTCTTTTCTTGTCAGCCAGAGCCTTTCAGAACTGATCAGTAGAAGAAAGTGAAAAAAGGTAAAACATAGTCCTGGATCAGGTACTTGTGTTTTCCTTTGGACAGCCTAAAAAGTAAACTGCCAAACACAGAAACTACTGCAATACGGAAACTTTGCCATAGAGTTAACTGTTCCATGATGAAGGTTAAACAGTATACACTGGGAGTAGAAATTTCTAGCTTTTTCAAGTAGCAAAAATCTAGCTGCAGTGAGTACTTTGCCTGGTTAAAGACATGCAATCACCTCTCAACAAATAAGACAGCCCTTAACAAAAAGGTCTGTCAGTCTACCTGCTCCACTTATTCAGCCTCTGAGATGACACAATTTGCTTAAGTGACTCACAAGGAACAATAAAATCAACTTATTAGAGACAAGCTTTGCTCACTGCATTTGTTAAAGAACTATATCACACTTCTGCCCTTCCTCCCGAAGATGCTGATGGCAGGATTTAGACACACTATCATTGCACTATGTATAAAACAATTAATACACCAATTTAAAAATTAAATGCAAGCTTCTTTATTAAGTCTTTATTAAGAATGCAGTTCAAGACTGTTCAGAGGACCTAAATGTGCAGTAAATTAGCTGCAAATTCCAAACCCTCAGAATAGGATATAAGTGATATTTCTGCTGGCTCTTTGTATTGAGGTAGATCAACTCCAGCAATGAAATGAACTTCCAGAAACAAGATTGTGAACACCTGACAGCTACAGCAAATATTCTATGTGGTTTCTGGTTTTGACCAAGTTCCCATTGATTTTGTCTCCAGGAGGAGTGGAATAAATCAGTTCTTGCAGAAATATGAGTATCTCTTATTTCAAATATTAATTGACTCAAAAAGATAAAAATTAAACCAAGCATATTTATTATGTTTTAAAAGATACTATGACCCAATTTCTTCTTAACAGATGGGAAGGAAAAACTATCAGAAAGCTTATGTGGCATTTCATGGAAAAAAAAGCAAACAATGGAACTGTCAAAATTTTACAAGGAAGCTCTTTCCTCCAGGGATTCCCACCAGTGTTATGCAGACCCAAGAGGTTCAGATGAACTGCAGATAAATATCAGCTTTTTGTGTACTTTTCTGAATCCAAACACTGGACCTTTTGTTTTACCTTGGCATTATTCTTCACCTTTGCCCCTGAAAAGCTGTAGTAAGTCTCAAAAATTGCAATCAGAAGCAGTTAACTCCATTATGTGTAGTGAAGGTCAAGTATTACGCTCTTTTTATTTGTATCATTATATAAGTGTCTACTTTGTTAATTCAATAATTTTATTAATATGTGCTTTGCCTCTATATCAACACTTTCAAATTATTAACATGTATATTATTACAAGAATGTGTGTCATCTTATAAAATTGTGTCACCTGGGAACACTGGGACAGGCTTTCCATGAAAATAAGACACAGTCTTCTGGGTATACCCATAACAATGGGATTCAGGTCTTTGGAAAATTTTTCCATTATCTTAACATTTTTAAATCCACTCCTGATAGTAGGAGTTTCAAAGAAAACTAGTAGGTACCAGGAGCAAAACAAGCAAAAAGGTAGAATTTCTCACCATACACGTATGTAAAACTTAAATGATTTTTTTGTAATCATTTTTTAAAAGTTCTTTTTACAAAATATCTCAGATGTTAAACGTTTATAGGGGTCTCTAGGAAAGTGTGTTGAGAACACACTATTTTGTACTACTGTATGCACTGAAACCATGTCAGGAAGTCTCTGATCTGCAAATGGCTGAAAGCTTACAGGAAGCTTAGAGGCTTATGCATAGCTTTTTTTACACATTTCCCAAAGAACCTTGCTTTTGGCTCCATCAGAGTCAGGACTGGTCTGACCCAGCATGGCTTTTATTCTGTTCTTGTATCCTTATCTTGTTTTAACACAGCTTTTAGTGCTTTTTATCTTTGAGAAACTAACTTGAAAAATAACAATAATTGCTTCCAGTGAATTCAGATTCTGGATCTTTTATGACATCATTCAGTTTTGAAAGGTAATAATACTATAGACACACTGCAATTACTTTATATTATCAAAGTTGACAACAGGGTTTCAACAACAGCCTGATCCAAAACCCACTGAGGTCACTGGAAAGACTCCCATTTATTTCAACGGGCTTGGAATCAGACCTTAAGATTCTTTGAATGGGAGTATAATAAAACAGGGGGGAAAAAAAGAGCTCAAAAGGAAAATTCTTCTCATGGTTTTCTCCTTGGCAGTTTAATTTTGTTTGCATTGTCATTTCTCTTTTGCTTGCCATCAATACAAAAATAACACAGTCTGGCGGAAACACCCATAATTGTTACAAATGAGGTTTTTAGCAATGCCTGGAAAAGTGTAAGCATCATATTGAAAATACATCTTCAGTGTAGAATTAGCCATGAATTCTGAGGAAAACTCAGGAAGAACTCCTTTGCCAGAGGAGAAGGGCAATGCAAGAGGTCTGTTTTCACCCCAAACAGACAAATACTGTAACCACTCATCACTGTTCATCACTTGGATAATACTGGCAGTAAGGGCAGGTTGGATAACACTGGGAGTAATTGCAAACTAACTCCAGATTTAGTTCTGCAGACCATTTATCTGGAACCACTTATCTTATTTTTGGATTTGTGGAGGCTCTAGATAAAACAACTACTACATCAATTAACTTTTGGTTTTGGTCTTGCAAACCCATAACTGAGCTTAACAGCTTTTGCATCCCTTACAACCATTTTACCTCTCCCAGTCAGCATTTATTCAGTCCATTTAAGGCATGCTGTGGAGGCAGACATCATTCGTAGCAGGGCCACCATGCTTGTGCATCTAAGAGAGCTGTCTCAAAGGACCTATTCAACAGTAATGCTGCAAGAAAAGACTTAACAAGGGAAAGTAGTTGTATGAACACGGATGCCATAATCTCCTCCAGAGCACAGATTATGGCTTTCCCAAATAACTCAGAAGTCTTGTGATACTTCCCACAGTAAGGCTTCCCATCATGAATTCTGAAGATGAGCCTAACTCAACATTTTTCTCATAGTAAATCAAAGGAAGAGTTTTCAATAAAAAGTTATAATGAACCATAGAAAATGTGTGACAGATTTTGACTTTTATCATCTGGGGCTGTATTTACAGGCTATCTCTGCAGGAAGCTGCTGTGTAACTTCAGGCCTACAGGTGGATCATGCATGAATCAATCATGGACACAACCCCATGGCTCTTCCTCGGTACTTTAGACTCTTTTCAACACTTGAACACTTGTTCAAATCCACAGACCTATCTAAGATCCTCTCAGTGGTTACCACAACCATTTTGACTCAAGATTTGGTGACAGTAAACTTCCTGAACATCTTCAGCTTCTTAAACCTCTCAGAACATTATTTTACAATTAGCTTCTTTGCAGCCAACACTTCTAATTCTTCCTCTCCTCTGAAACAAGACACTGTTTCATAAAAAGTGTTTCTAACACTAGTCTTTTTGAGAACAAATTGCAGTTCTAATTTGGTAATGCTACCTTTGAAATCAAATAATACATTCTTGGAGGTAAGGGAAGTTTTTCCATAATTTTAGCTTGAACATTGCAGAATGAATTCCCAAGTATAGAAGTATTCGAGCTGACGGATTATTTTCCTGTGGTCCAAAACCAGCACAGCTACAGGGAAAGAAGATCATACTACTGAGTCTTCTGCAGCAATCAGATGCTGAAAAGGTGTTTTGAGAGATATTCCTTGTTCTGGTAATATTAACCACTGATAATATGTAATTTTTTAAAGACTCTAAAATAACTTTGCCACCCTCAATTACACTTATGGCTGTGAGTGCTGAAAGTCACTTGGGGATATGGGGCTTCAGTTCCTAAGCCACTTTTGAGCTTTTAGGGACAGAGAACGAGACAGGGCCCCTGAAATTTGAAGTCAACTTCTTTTGGAAAAAAAATAAACACTTCTTTCAGTTTTCCCCATCAAGCACTCAGGTTTCTGATCTCCACGATTCCCACCACAAGATTTTCCCAGAATATCACTGCTGTGCATGGCCATTACATTCAGTTGCATTTGCCTACAATTAATTAGCAAACCAGGCCTTTCTTTTTCTTAGACATGCCAAAGTTCACCAACATGATCATGTATGAGATTTTTTTTATTGGTTTCCCTGTGCCTGACCTTGCATTTTTTATGATGAATTTCATATCACTTCTATCACTCTAGCTTTCAAATTTACCCCAGTTCTTCCTGAGTGAGACCCACGATCTTCCTTTGAGCTTTCCAGAACTGAAATCTATAGGTCATTCAAAAAGGAAAAAAACCTTTTTAAGTGGAATCAACATATATTCTAATCCCAGAATGAAAGATTTAGAAAGTATATTTTTGTGGAAGAATTTCCTGTGATATATTTCCAACTCATCGTGCACTGATAAACATTCTAACTTTATTCTTACTTTCCATTTGCTCCACTACCACCTAAATGCAACATATTTATCTTTACACAGGCATTCCAAAGCTTATTAACAGAATTATATTAATGCATAATTAGCTGGATTATAAATCTGAAGCCAATGGTATTTTCACAAAGTTATGAAGCTAATAATTTTACATAAAATGCGGTCACTATACCTGGGAGGAAAAGACCTGGCTTTCCCAAGGATTGGTCCAACCTGAAAAGCAAACAGAGAATTACCAGCAGTGCAATTACCAAGCAACTTAAACTCTGTTGCTAGAAAAAGCATGGGAGCATAATTTACATGAGAATTTACAGTAGCTTTAAACCTAAACCAAAACAAGTAAAAACACGAGACTAGCATGACTTTCTGTATATACAGTCAGCAGTTTAGTTCTTTAGAGTTTTTTCTCCAAAATCAAACCATATTATTATTGTTATTTTCTTGAGTACTAATATTTCTTAGACTTTCAAGTTGTAACTAAAACATAGTTCTCTTGTGTCTTATATAATCTAATAACAAAGACTATACAAACAGAATAGCTTCTTAATAACATTTGCAACTATTCCTTGAATCTCATACAGGCAGATTTAACATCTATATATGTTGACACAGTAGATTCCGTTCAACAGGACTTTTTTTTCTTTCATTTAATTTAAGGGTCAGAGAAGTTCATTCTGGTGTCCCAGTCCACAGCGTTAATTTGTAAAGAGAAAAGCACTTTGTGCTGAAACAGAAGGGAATAGTTTTGTGGCAAAATATTTCAGCTGCAAATCTGAAACTCAGAGAAAGCATGTGCATGGAGGAATGTAGGAAGGGAAAAGTTCCAGATAGAGAGGGAAACACAAGTGAACCAGATTTCTCTCAATTGTGGAGAACCAGAGAGTGGGAACAGAAAGACAAATCATTATTTGAAGAGTTTTCCTTTTCTAAGGAGAGGACAGAAAAAATTGCTTCATACTATAAACTTCACAGCATGCACCTTCGTTTCTTTTAATTTCACTTGGAGACAGAGGAGAGGAGAATAAAGGACAATTGTAAGCCTGGTCATAAAAAGGGTTAAAAATGACTCCAAGCTAAATCCTCTAGATATTGTGCTCCCCGTTGCGCTTGCAATTTCAGACAATTACTGTTCATTAAGTACGCATCTCTCCTAAAGCCAGCTGGCACTGGAGAAATCAAATATTTCATGAGGTAGACAGGGACTACCTTCTTTGAAGTTCTTTTATCCGAACCATCATATTGAGGTGTCCTTGTGAGTACTGTTCGATCACGTCGCGGACGTCGTAAGGTTTCCGAGCTTGCTGTGAAAAGAGTCAAGAGATTGAAAGGTAAGTATTGTTTAAACTTGATTTTTATTTCAGATGGGCCTTCATTCTATTTTTTTTATCTTCCAGAGGTTATTTGCTTGCCATTTTGCAACAGTTGTTGTAATGAATAAAAAATATGTAGCTGTTGTAGGAGTGCATATTTACTGTGGAGATGGAGCCAAATGATTCCCATTACTGTCAGTTAGAGTCATGTCTTCATGTTACTTCATACTGAGCAAAATATTAGACCTTCACAGTGTATTTGAAAAACACAAACCCAAGATATATAATTTATCTAAGACTATCATGTGCGGTATCTCTTGGCTCATTCCAAAACCATATGATAATCATAATGTCAGAGGACTGAACCACAGGAACAGGCCCAATTCATAACATTTGGACCCAGAATCACATGTCTCTAGAGACTAAAGATGTCTGGTGACAGAAATATTGCTGTTTAAGGAACTGGGAAGACAGATGCTTTGCATAAGTCAGAAGACTGCTGCATGTGGATTTTGTTTGCGCTTCTTTGTCTTTCATGATACCTACGAAGTCAGAAAAAAAAAGTGCAATTCAAATAGAAAAGAACAGATAAAAAATGCAAGAGAGTGAAAAAACTGCCATCTGCCCAGCTTTATTCCCATTCTAATGAGAATCCAGATGCTTCTTCCAAGCTTTGGTTTCTTGCTGCAACTACCATGGCAGAATTTTGAAACAAGTCTAGAGAATTTGCATAAAGTGATGTGATTATAAAAAGTGCAGCACACTAAAATTTTAGCAAGTAAAATCAATGTGTGTGTGGTGGAATAAACACAAATTATGTCTTTCTGAAAATTTTGGCATTTTGAGAGCCATACCAACCCCTATGGGAAATGTGGGGCAAGATGTCTTCCCTTTGGCTCTGACTCAAGAAAAGAAGAAAAAAAAAAAAACAAAGGTAAACTGCAAATCTAGTAATTGGAAATTACTGAAAACAGCTCATTAGTCATCTTGTTGTCTGTTTCCACTCTGTCACAGCTTCAGCCAGAGCCATTAGCATGCACCACTGCACACATGCATTGAACACCTACAGTATGTGCTGGAGTCATGCTTGGAAGGCAGCCACAGGATCCTAGAAATTTCAAATGAAAGCATGGAACTGGAATGGAAACAAATCCTGTGAAATGAATGAAGAAGGAAAAGCTCTTCGTGACAAAATGCCTTCCTTGCACTCAGCACTTACCTGCATTATTACTTTCAGAAGAGTTCGTGGCTTTGGTAGTGTGCGTGTGCACATTTGTGTGCATTTGTGTGCATTTGGGAGAGGAGATACTTTGCGGGGGGGAGGGAGGTTTCAGCTTTCAGTTTATCGCCTTTTTTTTTTTTTTCGCTTCCCCAGCTTCACATTTTGCAGACGCTGACACATCACTATTTCTGGCCAGAAAAGCAGCCTATTGTCTTCACCCCGAGAAACAGTGCCAGTATCACTCTTTAGATTGACTAGTGGAGGTGCTTTGAGAGCCTTTTGGCTAAATTCTCCGTCCTTTCCTTTGGACACTCTCTATTTAAACACGATGCATGGCACAGAGCCTAGATGTGCTGGGGATTTTTGCACTCCCCTCTCCCCCATGGGCTACTATGAGCATAATTAATTCTACTCAATTGTAATGAAATTTCTCCCCCAAAAGAAGTCCTCTATCTGTTATCCCTTTTACCAAATCATCAGCTCTGAATTGTACAGTTGCAAAGTACTGTACACTGCAATCTGTCTGAGTCCTCTCTAAAGCTTTGTAAAAATATCCTTCCAGCTTTCACCATTTGTATCTCCTCTTTTCCTATAAAGTTTTAGATCTGAGCATCTAAGGTCCTGCCAAACTTTGGCCCAATCTCTTGTTATGTTTTTATTAGAAAATGCTAGTACAATACAACTTAAGCCAGGAGGCAATTGCCTTCCAGGGAAGTGTGGTTAATGCAGAACTTGAGCAACTCCTTTAACTTCCATTCTGCCCATAATCACAAATCCTGGCCATTTGAGCTCAGTAGTCCACATTCAGTGTGCTTAGAGCTCCTAAAGCAAAACTCTAAATAATATTACCCAGCTTTGAACTTCCAAAATCTAATTAGCATAGGGAGTCCTATAAACTGTATTTCATGGCCCCAAGAAAGAAACAGAAGATCATTCCTTCAGCTTCTTTTTCCCTGTCACTAACACCAACTCACAGAATTCTCTCCATAGACTGATCAAGTTCATTTTGTGAAGTCCGGCAGGACCGCTGTTGGCTGACAGCCCCAGAACATTAGGTCTCTGGTGGTTTGAAATATACTAATTTTTAACCTAAATAATTTATAAACTGATTTTATTTTCAAGAAATGGTGTCTTTAATATTTATTTATTTATTTATTTTTGATTTCCCATACTGTTTATGTCTCCGGTATATTTACAATATAATCCTGTTCTCCTGGTTTTTTTTCCGAGTTAAATAAACTGATTTCCCCTAGTCTTCTTTCAAAAGGTAGGGTCATCTGAAGATACGTCTGCATGAGCTTGGGAAATGTATATGCTATTCTGTCTGCCATAATTCAGAGTCTTCTGAGTGCTGTGAGCTTATCTCAGACTTTTATCCCTTGCAATTAAGTGCTCAGCTCTAATCAAACTTCCCTGAAATGTAGGTTCTTGATTTATGCTTTTAAAACCTCTTCAAAAGGATTATGAAAGTTCATTAACTTGCAGTGGATCCTCTCAGACAAAAAAAGCAAGAATCTTAAATGGAAACAACAGGGGTTTTGAAAATCAGTCCAGAAGTTAATTTTTCATTTCCATGGCATTTCCAGCACATGGGTGGTGAGAACGATGATATCAGAATCCCAGTCCAAAAAAGTTTTCTCATAAGAAGCCTCAGCAAACAGGCAAAGTATAACAGTATTTCCAATGCAGTACATTTAGTCTGAGAACATTGTAACCTGAATGAGAAAATTAACCCTCCATAAAGACAGCAAATTCCCAGAGGGTCAATGCTCCCCAGTTTTACAAAATACGGCCTATGATGTCCTTTTCTGGGAAACCAATTTGGAAATGTGGGTCACAAATGTGAAAGCAACTTTACACAGCATAGTACTCATCAGTGAGGCCTATTGATCTGTCAGCCATCCACAGCACACAACTGAGCATCCTCTAACCAGTCATTATGATCAGCGTGGACAGTAACAGTGTTCTTGCAGACACTCCAGCAGAGTGTTTTCTTCACTTCTTCTAGTAGAAGGGTAAGTATTGGTCAGTGTAGTAAAATGAATAGAACCCCAAGAAACAAATGCAGCAAGAAAAGAGAAGTGAAAAATAACCACACTGACTCCACAAATGCAGGTTTTTGTATCATGCTATACCCATGGATAGTTGACAGTTTTGCCCACACCATGAAAAAATCCACGTAAGGTAAGTATGAGGCCAAGAACCTAAAGAATGCCTTTGACTTATTAGTGCTGCATGCACAAAGACTTTGAGAGCACTGTGAGAGCACTTTCTATGTCATATACTTAAGCTTACAGCAATTGTACTTATGATTAATCATGCTGCTTACCTGAAATTTTCTTCTGGCTACAAAATACTGCATTCTCCTGATGACTTTTACAGCTGTTCGATGTGCTTCAGTTAATCTGCCAAGAAAGACAAACACAGACATACATCAGTTGGTGTGGGGGGAGGAAGCAGGAAAAATGGAAGTAGTCTTAACAGAAGATGTTGACTCTAAGCACCAAAATCTACAAATATGTTTTATGTCTACAATGCAAAGCTGTAGCATAGCACACTGTGTGTGCATATATACTTTGTTCTGCTGCTTTGCCTTCTTGTGTATTGTGGTTCTAAGTGTTAAGAACTGATAAGTGAGACAATGAAAGCAGGTGTACAAAGATAATACATGTGGAAGGGATTAGACAGGATTACTGTCAATGAGTACAACTGGCATCAGTTTGAAGAATGTGAAATGTATTTAGAACCATGACTGCGTTCCTCATTTTGCATTTAGTGTTTGCCCATGAGCTCTACTGCGCAGAAATTAAGTCCTTTAAAAAGGACTTTGACCTCTCTAGGAAGGAAAGAAAAACTGAAGTGTCACATCTTAAAAAAAAATAAAATGAACACAACACAGTCTCTTGGCACACGTGCGCGTGTCTGTGCATGTGGCTGTCTGTACTGGTATTCAAACACAGAACAGGACATAATATAACTTAGCTGCATCACTCCACCCAGAGGATACTGCACTTGCACAACATTAATTGAGACACTTGGCTGGCAATTAATTACTACAACCTCTTATTTATGGTGAATTTTGAAAGGGTAGAGAGAAAGCAGGAATGTGGTAACTGTAAGTAGAAGTATTTTCTTAAAGTACTGATTCCTTCCCCGTGGACTTCTTTATTCACACCAAATGAGTAAACTAAGGAAAAAATTTTCTTTCCAAGGATGCTGCATCGTTAGGAAATCTACACTCTGTATGGACATCATCTTTGACATGTGATGATAACCCAAGGAAAGCTATCCATCAAATTTCTTGAGTCTCTTGAAGGCACAGTCTGCTGCCTCTTCCCAGTCTATCTGGCTGGGGAAAAGGAAGTATTAGCCAGGCCACCTACTTGGGTGCCACAGTTTAGAGATAAAGTTTTTAAGAAGTAGAAAGATTACAGTGTATTATTTCAAAGTGAAGCAAATAAAAGCTAAACAAGCAGGGATTGTATTTAAGAATTAGCATAGCTTTTCATTTTATAATTATTCTTCCGTAAAATTAGTGCATCTGACTGGGTGAGATACCAGAGCCTCAGGAACGTTTTTTTAAATAAGCTTTCAGGGGCTTTTTCTGACTCTTTCTATGTCAACCCCAGATTAATATTGGATACATGCACAAATAGGTGTGAAACTCAGGTGTCTGTACTACATATATCCTCACATTTCATTTATCTGTGTATATTCATGCACATATCCATATAAATACACTCACACATGCAAACACACAGAAGACAGTGCAGGGTGAGCATGACTAAAGACCTACCTTTGTTGTATATCATCAACAGCATTGCAAAGAACAAATCTTTGCATTCGTGTAAACCTATCAAAGGGACTGGAGTTTACCCTACAAGACCTTCATTATGGTGAAAAAAAGCTCTCAGCTTGGTATTCAGAGTCCCAGCTGAGCTCCTGTGGCCAGTGACTAAAATGGAGATGACATTTTACTTGCAAATGGCAAGTAAATGGCACCTCCTTAATATCAGAGAAATCTTTGCCAGCCCCTACAATTATTATTTTCTTTTTTTAATAACTAGAAAAGAATCACAACTTAAGGTTTGGGGTTTAGCCTACCTCCCCTGTGTACGAGTTAAGATAAAAGCTTAAAATTATCCCCTAGCAATAAATAATTTCTTTATAAATTATGTGAAACTTCACATATATACTTGAGAGGTTTTTTTAATTAGGCTTATCCATATGAGGTGGTTCATGCACTGTTTAAACAGACTTAAATAGAAAAGCTTAAAGAAGTCAGAGATGGAAACAAACCAAGGCAGTAATTTCCTCCTAATTACCCTCCTTCAGCAGAAATCAGGGCTACAGAACTTTTTCCACTGTGTTATCAAATTTAAGTGTTCAAAACCATGAGACTAAGTCTTGGAACTTGATGCACAGTTGAAAAGGCTGCATTTTTAGAGAGAAAAGCTATTTATTTGTGAAATACAGCTAAGGCCACCCAACTATAATTCAAAAGCACTTGATATTGGCGTGTTCCAAGTGGCAAAATTCACACTAATCTCACTGGGAGCAAATTCTGAAAAAGAAGTGACTGTTGAGATTTGATGGTCACTAGTATTACACTGAGAGACAGAAACACCTGAAATCTGGCTTTAATGGAAAAATAGCATGAAAAGGTACAAATCCATAGACTGAGAGTGGCTGTGTTATCTTAATTGCCTCAATAAATCCACAAGGAGCATAGAAGCTCTAGGTGACAGGGAGGAGCTCTAGATGAGGTAAGCACCCTGCTCTGTATAGCAAGCAGAACTATCCTCCTTACAGGGGGTTGGGGCAGCATAGCTGATCCTAAACATTTTTTGAGATTTTAGCTGATTTTCACAGGTTTCCTGTCACTGATGTCCACAGTGGACAGTTACAACTACTACTGACTAGGTTGCATTATCCCTGCATTTAGCCCAATGCATTTACCCTGCGAAACCTTTTATTTTATCCCAAAACACTGGATTAGGCAAAACCCTTTCAGCCTTAAGGGTGTCAGTCTGTTACATGCCAGAAGCACAAAACTGGAGAGAACAAAAGGGCAGAGATGCTTTAGGTCATGCTTTAGTAATGCTCATTAGGATCACAACACCACTTGCAGTGAATCTCCCAGATATTTTGAGATGTGCAACTCATGAAACGACAACACAAGGGGGTGAGCCCCATGCTTGCACACTCTTTCCATGCGGCATTTTCTACCAACACAAGACAGAAAGGGACAGATCTTTACGGGTATTATGTTTCCTAACTCCCACGGGGGTGAAGATTTAACTACTTTCACAGTCAGTAGGGGCCTGAGCACTTGCACTAATTAGGAATATGGGCGGGTGGGTGCCCACACCTCAGTCCCTACGGAGCAGCCAAGCTCTCCTGCCACTGTGCACCAGAGGGCAGTGGCACACACACACACACTAGGACATGTTCTCCAGTACATTAAAAATTATTTAAATTGTTTTAAAAAAGCTTTACTCATAAACCCAGGCATAAACTCTAGACCTTATAAGGATGGGGTCATGCTGAGGTGGGATGTCACTGTTGAGTGGTAACTATTTGGTGGGTTGTTTTTTTGGTATGTTTTGCTCAAAAGAGTATAATTAGAGTTTTATTGACAGACAATGGCATGCTTTCCCATCTTTTAACCTAAACAACAGGTAAGAAGGTTTTGTCAAAACCCTCCCCTGAAACACTTTGTAAAGGACAACAAAATTACCTTTGAACAGAAGTGATCTGGGTTTGGGAAAGTTATGAGCACATAAAAAAATTAATAATGGAAGCTTGTAACATCTGTAACTATAATGGATACCAGGAAATCTGTATTAAAATAATATATACTTGGATTCATAAATGATACTGACATCATCTATAACTATGTCTTCAAGTAGGACCCCAGCCTTGGATCCGTTTGCAAAGCAGCACGTGTTCCTTACCTCTCTGCTAAATGATTTCTTAGCAGCATGTTCCATTTTAAAAGTAGTCAAACCTATCTTTATTTAAAATGAGTTATTCCTAGTTTGGCTTATGGGCTCCTGGGCTGTCATATCATTGTGGTAGAGGAAGAGGAAAGAGGAGCAGGTGGTGGTCCTGGAACACCAATGTTAACATGCAGCCCCCACCCTGATGGGATGTTGAGAAACACTCTGGCAACTATTCTAGAGGGAGAGGGAGAAAGGGACCCCTCTTTGCTGACTCAGCCTTCCCCTCTGCAGGTTTTGGGTATGCCTGTGTGGACGAAGAGGTTGGAGGGACAGCTGTATGCCAAGGTGGCACCACAGCCCTGATTTGCTGCTCTGCTCAGGGTTCAGAGAGCACTGAAAGGCCTTACTTTTAGCTAAAACACTTGAATGTATTTAAGACTTCTTTTCTTTTTTTAGCTGCAGAAAGGCAGTAGCTTAAGCCAAAGAAGCCAAACACTTTTTTCAGTTAAAAATAATTGAACCAGAGGAGGAAATAGAGATGATGAAATCCAAAGCAACTCTAGAAACTATCCACAGAATTTTTTTTTTTTAAATTTTATTTTTATGTACCATTCTGTTTGTTAAAAGCTTGTGTTGGCCAGTCCAGATGTACTCTTTTTCTTCTTTTGTGTGGTGTCTGATAACTTCCAGCTTAATGTGCTTTGGAACAGCCAGGGAATATTTTAAGTGAAAAAGAGATACATAAATGGACCCTAAACCCAGGCAGAGTTACAGCTATTCCAGACCATGCTGAGGCACAGCTCGAGTTTACAAACAAACCTGTTATCAGTGTGATGTACTTTTCAGTCCAGAAGCACTTTTTGATCATTAGAGTGGACTTCAGTGTAGGGATAGGGGGATGGACTTTACTCAAGCTGTGCTGCAGGATGGCTGCAGATAGTGGAACGTGCATTCCAGGCTGGTTTTCCTGACATTTATTCAGGTGTCGTGAATTAGAAGAGTTATTCAGTGTAATGTAACTACTTTGATCATGAACTGGTGAAAATAAAGGCCACTTCAGTAAGGTCAGTAATAGCTCTCTGTCCCAATTTGCAAAACTGGTTTGAGGATACACACTTACAGTACTTGGGTTACTGCTGAGCTTCATTCACTTGTTACGTTTTGATTGTTTAGCAGGAAAATATATATAAAGTCATACTAACTCTATTTTAATACTGATCACTGGATAATGTTATAACTCCTTTCCAGAGTAACATACAGCATCATCAGTTCTGGACTTGCTCATTTGACACTATTTTCTAAGCCAGCACAAACAGGGACTAGATTAGTGATGGCAACTGAAATGTAAACAAGTTATCTGAGAAGCTCAGCTCTCCATCTGCCTTTTTGTGTTTCCCACTACCTCTGATTAAGAGTATTCGCTTTACACTTCTGATTCTGGGAAGAACATTGATTCCCAG